GGTGAATTGAACAGAAGATTTGCGGAATTTGGCTTCTGTTACAGTAATGACAGGAGGAATTCATGTAATGTAGGTGACTGGAAGCATGTTCTTTGCTATCAAAGATGAGGAATAAACTGAAATGAGATTATTGTCTTCTGCTACAGGAGTTACCAGACTTTGCTTACTTTCATGTCGCCTGTGGGCCTGGTACAATAGCAGCAGATTATATCTGGGCGCATAACGTGTTTCTGACTTCTCAGTGTTTCGTTTGGGTAGTTAGTTGTACTTAATGCTCAATTTTAGCTCATTCTTTGGGCGGTGGGGATTGATAGCTGTTTGAAGCAAGGTGTTTGTATACAAAGCTGAATATTATATTTCAGAGCATGAAGTTTGTTCTCCTCTTATTTGCTGCAGCCCTTCCGCTACTCTGAAGTGCTAGTTAAGTTCTCAGGGTTCTGCTAACTAATTTGTTTAAAGGGAGTGGACAGGTATCTCAAATTCATTGTGTAATTAAAAAACTCTTAACCATTTAGTCACTAATTATTTACTGTAAGCCTTTGCTCAAAAGCTCTGTGGTTTGGGTTGTATTATTGTTGTTTTTTGCTTTGGTTCGAATGATTTAGTACATGATTGAAAATTCGGAAGTGAGTGTGCAGAACTTGATGTAACCAAACTTGGTATTCTGAGGAAATAGAGTAGAAAATTTCAAACTTGTCAGTATGCATCACAGGTACAAGTGCAGAGCACTGTTTTGAAGGTACCCTTTGCAGTTTCTGTGTCTGTATCTACCTTATAACATGCGGAAAATTGTCTTTCAGTGTTCACAGCAGTAAGTTGCAAAATGACTTCAAAGTGAAGGTGGCAAACATTTGAAATTGCCATTTTCTTAAAAATGTGTGATTCTTAATGCAAGTTGTCTGATGACCACTAGAAATAACATTTCCCCTCATTGCTGTGCCTAGATATTCTTAAATTGAACTTTAATTTCCCATTTTAATCAAACATTTGTGGACCTGAATAAATCATGACGACGTTCTGTGGAAAAGAAGTCTGGGAGTTAAAATGCATAACTAAAGGCAGTGTGAGTTTATCCGTGGAATTTTTCAGTTCCCTTCACAATTTGAGTGTCAAGGTGATTCTCTTTATTCCTTTTGCAGCGTTCTTGAGCATATGCTTCCTAGGGCTAGAGTAATGTAACTGCTGAGAATAAGGAGTAGTTGTGCAAAATGTGACTGCGTTTAGTTGAAAGAAAAGTTGTAGAATAGAATCTTGCTGGGAAAATGTTTTTCAAATAGTAGATGCATTTAGGGCAGTAATGCAGTTCAATCATTTAACAAGCCATTATGTTTTGCCGTCTCTCTTTTGAAGTATGAAAAGTTTTATGTGTTGTTCTTCACCATTTTAAAAACATCAGCAATGTCATTCTACAAAAAATTTTGGAAAAACCATTTTCTATCCAATACATCACAGCTAGCAGTGATGGGATGATTATTTTAGTGGGCATGTTAGAGGTTGGCAATGAACTGCACATGAGACTTCTGGAAAGTGTACTGTGTGATGCTGTGAAAGTGAGGTCCTCGTCCAGAGATAACTACTTTAAATATAATAATTTTTACAGTTTTGTTTGTGTCCTAAACCTTACATTCACAGGTTGCTTTGCAGGGGAAAACCTGGAGAGAAAGTAAGCAGGTTTTGAATTAATGGAAAATTACACTGTACACAGTCTTGCATGGTGGGTCTTTTCTCCTAGAACAAATGGGGTAGGAATCATATAATAACCAAATGTATTTTCTACTGTAAACTAGAGTGGCTTTCATTTCTAGATACAAAACAGTATGTTGAGATTTTTCTAAAGCACCTTATATTGTGCTTGTTCTTGTTTGTGTTCTGATTTTATGAATTTGTTGAGCAATTTTTAAATGCTGAAAGCCAATGTGAAAAAAAAAAGCCATTTGAAGCCTGCTTCAGCAACGGGACAAAATTTACATGTAGTTTTTTGCACCTAAAGGAAAGGGCAGTTCAGGTACACATTAAGGTTTAGAGGAGTCAAGTTCAAAATGATGTTTTATACTCATTTGTGTCAAGCCAGCAAGTTGAGCTGACCATATGATGTAAGACAAAATAGACCATATGATCTGCCTTTATGTGTAGAAAGACTGGCATTTTGCAAGGAGCTCATGAGACTCGCTTCCAATTCACTTTGAACAGTCTTTCTGTGCTGGAAGGAGGTACAGATTGGAAGAGACTGTGGGAAGAGGAGAAATTATTCAAGGTTTGTTTCTTGCCTTATAATATAGGAGAGGCTCAACTGCATTATTTATGTTAGAGAAATGAGTGTTGAAGCATTGTCTTCTAGCTATAAATAGGTTTGGGTTAAGTAAGATCTGCTCAAACTCCTTTACATGTTGACAAAGATTCAGGAAATGCCCCATGGCTTTTTTTTTTTAATTGAGTGGTAGAAGTGATCAGGTGATTTCATGTGAAGGATGCAAACTTCAGCAAGAACAGCAGCATCTCCAGTAATGGGATTCATCATGGGTCTCTGGAGATGCTAGGGCTGGAAGAACCTCTCTACTCTACAAGTGGGCCTAGTGTTGTTACTTTGTTCTATACAGAGTAACTCATTTTATTAAAGATTCCATGTCTTGTTGGCAGACTTACCCAAAGCACGTTACCTAATAGCTCTTGCGTATTGTTCTGTCATGACATTCACGTTGTCAGCAGAGTACCTTACAGTCCTTGTGAATTCTGGCTTTCTCCTTTGGATGTACGCCTGTGTAGTGTGCCTAGATAAATGCTTCAATAAAAGTGTTCATAGTAAGACCTGAGCTGCCTGTTGTTTCTGAAGTGTCTGCGCTTAGAAGTGCAGCAGAACTTGCATCTCAGAGCTTCACAGCTCATGTTTACCCGCTAACACAGTATTGAAACCAGTGACTTGATGAAAGTATGTAACGCACACAAAGTAGAATTCTTTCCATTTGGGAGACTATTCACTCTTTTCTCTTCCTGAGTTTAATGTTTGTTTGAAGAGGGAATCTGGTTTAGGAAGAGCTCTTCACTGATTTCCAATTTGCTAGGACATCAGTGTGATGGATGGTTCTGCACATCTTCAGCTCCTTTTCCTTTGAGAAAAATGGTACCGTGATCTGACTAATTTATATCTTGTAGTTTATTCCTGGGTATATGTAAGTGAAAAGTAGTTTTTACTTACGATTTTAGTATTTTGTCAGTTAGTTTTGTGACAAAAATACAGAAATTAAAAAACTTTGATTCGGGAAGCTGAAAAGATAGAAAGGAAAGGCCACGCTTCAAAGGATGTGCTTGCTTTGTTGCATATGTTACGCTGGCTTTTTGAACTTTATAAATGGTGGCATTAATTGCCTGTGCATGTGACTGCAGAGAAAATGCGTTTCTTCATCTAGCTGTTTCTTTCTTTCAAAATAGTAGGAAAAGTAATTGATGCGATCTCGTGAGTTCAGCCTGCTCTGGCTGTTAGAAGTGGAAGGAAGCGTATGTGTCCCAAAAGTTGTTGAATTTCTACTGGAATGTTGTGTATAAAGTGGTACCTTTAGACTGCATATCATCCTTTGTGCCTTCATCTAAAAATCAGTGAAAAGAATATTATTTAGAACCTGAAGTATAAATTGGTCAAGTACTAAGGTAACATATTCTTTGTTCACCAAAATTGATATTTGTTCTGGGGTGTATGCTAGTGTTCATTTAAAGTTCAGTTGTCTTTGTGTGGCATCATTACATACTTTTCTAAAATCTGTGGCTGGAAAGGAGGAACACTTATGAAAATGAAGTAGTTTATCCTTTTGTTAAAGCTTTTACTGGACTTGCTTGTATTTGCTGTGGTTTGTGTTATATGACTGAAGCTTTTACATCAAATCCAGTATTTCATTTCAAAATCAATTACTGCCTTTGCAGTTTGAGGCACAATGGCTAAGGTTTGAAGAGGGAATCTGGTTTAGGAAGAGCTTTTCACTGATTTCCAATTTGCTAGGACATCAGCATGGTTAGATGGTTCTGCACATTTTCAACTACTTTTCTATTCCCATCTTTCTATTGAAACATATCTGCTTTTTCCTGCAGTGGCATACATATACTGTCCACTTGTCTAGACTACAGGAGTGGCTTTCAGAAGTATGGAATATCCCTTTTTCCTTTCACTGTCCTCCATGGCCTGCAACAGATTTAGGTTTCTGGGTTACTCAAGTGCTTGATAGCAATTTCTTCAATCTCTGCAATGTTTGGACTTTGTATCTGTAGCTCAACAGATTCAAAGAAATGTATACATGCAGAAGGTTTTCTTAAAGATCTCAGAAAATATTTCATCAAAATGGCAACATATTATAGTGAGAAGAAAAGTAGTGGTTACTTTTAAGCTATATCTTATTTTAACTGTGTAATATGAAATTTTGAGGGGGAAACTGAACTGATTTCAAAATGTGGCTCCTTTCTTAGTACTGTCCTTTAGGAGGATTGACATGGTCATAAAAATTCAGCTAGAATAAAAGCTGTATATATTTAAGGCAGTGTGTAATCTTCTCAGAAATTGTGGA